CATACAGCGACAGACACACTCACATGCTCCGAGGTTGACATATGACTGGAACTAACCAAATCAATTTATACCTCATCTAAGAGGTCAGACAAAGACTATATCTACAGATTTGTTGGGATGAGCTGATAAGCTTTCTTGACTCATTAACTGGAATTTGGTTGTAAGGATGATAATTTGCACTGATGATGTTCGTCATACGACGAGCGAAAGCTGAATACGTTTACATTGGAATAAAAAAGAGATTACCTCAGAAATAGCGCCATCGTCTTCTGGTGGGATCGACCTTCGAATCTCTTCATCAAACACCTCCACTCGAAATCTAGGTAAGCTCAACAATTATGAAACAATAGATTCCTCGAAACCAATTTTTATTCACACAAACTTGAGAGATGACCACAAATCTTCAGCAAAAGGTGGTCACAACAATTCTCAGCTTGAGCACTTGCTCTTCGAGAGTATAATTAATTTCAGTAGAAATGTCTTTTCCTGCGTTTATTAATTGATATAATTGTCTATTTTAAAGGCATGTCTGGGACTATAGTTTACAACTGAATTTTGGCAGCCAATTTAGGTGGAACTCAACGTGATGAATAAGCATAGATTGGCTTCACCCAAAATACAGGACGCCCCATAACTTTATTTAAAGACCGTTATGATATGAATTCATAGGTATCTATATATATCCGGGCAAAGCCAATCACCCTCATTGAACCAGTTGATCTTGAATAAAGACCCTTGCTCAAGAGTTGCTATCGAATTAAAAAATGAGTTTTTTTTAAATGGAAGAAGCTTAGCGAATTTCGACAAATTTTGAACAAAACTCAACTTTGTTATTCTAATTTTTTCATACTAGACATACTCGAAGCAATGCAAATCATGAGAAAATGAAAGGCCACATTTGGTGCAGGCAAAATATAATAAAGCCAAAGATTTTGTATACTTACTCATTCTCACGAGGCTTTAAACCGGAGCATGTATCCAAAAAGTCCGGAGATACAAGCTCCTCCTCGACCGATCCCTCTTCGTCAGCTCCCGCTAAATCATGTCTTGTTTGATCCAGTTTGTTAGTTCTCTGTTTGTCCCTCTCAGATATCTCATCACCACGGCCATTGTGTGTACGTAATCTCCTAGTAGCGTCGAATATTCCCCCATTTCTGCGTTCATTGCTTCCATCCCTTCCCTCTTGTGACGCAATATTCTCCTTTTCGATGCGCACAGAATTACGGTTTCGTCCTTCTAGCTCGTCGAAACTCCGAATGTTAGCTTCCGGACTGGATAAATTCCTTTCTAATAACTGGTGCGGCACCTGTAGCTGCTGTTGCCGCTGATGTTGTTGGTAGTGATAGTTGTTGAGATGATTGGCAGATTTATAATATTGGTCATGAATATGCTGTTGTTGTCGTTGGCCAGAGTATAAATCTGTACTATATGCATTCACCAATTCGGCATTGGACTTTCCGGGATAATTACCCACAGTGGTTTCATGAGGCTTACTTTCAGCAAAATAGTCAGCCTCCAGTCCAGAAGCCTGCTCAGAGCTGGTAGTAGTCTGCGAGTCTTCTATGCTCGTTTCCCCTGTGGCGGCCGTCTGGCCAACGCCTGCTCCCAACAAGTCGATATGACTCATCATTTCTTCAATCCCTGTAGACTCCTCGATACCATTTACTTCATTATCACCCTCATGTAAAGCCTCTCTTTCATCCCTCTCCTTTGCTTCCTCTTCCCCCAGATCTCTTCCTCGCACCTGATGCTGGCACCTACTTCTGCTATCATGTTCACCTCCCATTTCAAGTTCTCCGAGTTCTTCATCTTCTCGCTCTACTTCCGTCTCATAGTCGTGGAACTGGTTGATGCTGGTCCGGCTATGCCCCAGACAAACATTGAGTGGGACCAAGCCAATCCTATCCGCGAAGTCTGGGGGAAGGGCAGCTTTCGCTCGATTGAGGCTGCGTCTCAGCCGCTGTGATCGACGGCTAAACCTGCCTGTACCTGCCGATCCAGTTGGCCGTGTACCAGGCGCGGTGTTATCCTGACTGTCGAAATTGACGTTGGCCCCATTCTCATGACGAGGAAGATCACGCTGTCCGTGAATAGGATTTCCATCTTCTCGGTAGCAATGCTTATTGCGGGCATCTTCATCAGCCTCTTGATATGCATCTAGCTCTCCTGTGTGCTGTTCCAAAGCATGATGGCCTTCTCTGGAGTCCTGACATGGGTTCGCATTATGATGTTCCTCCTCATCCTCGTCCTCTTCGTCTTCTTCCTTGTCATAGGCTCCTTCTGAGTCATCATCAGAGCTGACAGCGGCAAGAAAACCTGGCGGAGCATTGTTTCGTGCCGGGCTTTCCCATCGAGAAGCACTGGATTTGCCTCTGTCGTTTGGTGGCTGGAAGCCCAGAGTTTGTGCCTGGGCCGAAACACATTGTGGAAAAGCGACAGGAGTTGAGCGAGAATGAAACAGTGTCTGGTTCTGTTGGGGCTGTTGGTATGTCTGGTTGCATCGGTGGTCGTTATGCACGTGTAGCGGTTGCGGCGACTGGGGATTAGAGCCACGTGTAAAAAGCCGGTTGAAAAAAACTGAAAATAAATCATTTCCACTCTGTATTGGGCTTGAGCTGTTCATGGATGCAGGACCTTTGGCCACCCCAGCAGAATGATCTATCCGGTCTGTATATCTATCTGAATTCGGCCAAACGGATGGCTGCCGTATTTGCGTCGTAGGTTGTGGCTGTGGGATGCTGACCTGTGAAGAGAGTGGTAACAGTTTTGGTCTTGTTTCATTGGTCAGGCCAACTTCCAGGTTGTTCGGTATTACAGTTTGTGTGTGGTGAGGGCCAATAAGAACACGACGTGAAGGTATAAATACTCCGGTCAAGCCATCTCCGGACGAGGTTGACGAGGCCGGGTTTGAGGTAGCACTAGCGTACAACATGGAAGGTCGCGAAATAATCGGCTGATTGGACGTCGTTATCAAAGAAGTCATTTGATCGGGAAGCAAGTTGTGTTGGAGTTTAGAAATTTCGCCTGACGAGTGTGACTGTGCACCGTATCCTGAGAGCCTATGATCCCAATCTTTGGAAGCACCTCCAATGAAGGCTTCGCCGGACTGGCTGGGATCAGGGTAGTTTATGGACTCCAGCGGCAGTGATATTGGAATTTCTTCAATGTCAGCTCGGGAGGCAGAGGAATGCTCGTTCGAAGAGTTAGAAAACGGAAATATTTCACCATGAATGCGTTGGTAAGGCTTTTGCCATTGCAATCGATGCTGCCCACCAGACTGCTCTTCAGGACGTATTGGTCTCTTAGACCAGCCCGTCGTCGTCTGGTCCAGCTTCTCTTCAGCCTCTATTTCAGACTGGCTAGAGTTGGTTGAAGTTGTGGAAAAACTGTTACTATCAACAGGATCAGAGTCCAAGGAAGCTATCTCCCCTGGTCGGTCCGAGGGTGATGGATAGCGGCCGGATGGCCCAAGTAGGCCAGAACCGACCACTTCTGTGGAACGTTTATTCTTAGCTTCCATTTCGAGAAGGCGTTCAAGGTGGCTGACGGCCGGCTGCGAGGGTAACGCAGTGGTTGGGGCCGCTGAGTGATACTTTTGCTGCGGCTGGGCCAGCTGAGGTGGCAAATGGCAGTCAGGGTCGTAAAAGCGAGTTGATGCGACAGGATCAAAGTAAACAGAGGGTTGCGCACGACTTGTGTAGGCAGGGTCAAGAAGCTTATGCAAAGCAAGAGAACCCGCTTCTAGAGTGGGACCAGGTTGGCTAGGACCTATGCCTTCCTGCAAATATGGGCTGTGCTTTGTTCGCATATTTGGGTAGGCCGAAGCGTTTCCCTGCCACGAGGATGAAGTTGTCACGGCATGGGGGTCGCCACCACCTTGAATTCCATGGTTTTGTCCTGATGAACCGGTCATTCCCAAGGTTGTTGGTCGGCTGCAAGATGAACTACTCGGATTTCCTGTGAATGTACTAGAGCCGCTCGGCCAAAAACCCGGATTCAATGAGTTTGGGTTGAGTCCGATCAAGCCGTCTGTTTGCGCTGGGGTAATATGAGGTCGCACCTGTCCACAAGAATGACTTGTTGTGCTACTTTGTTGACCATACGCTGTGTTTATTAGAGTCTGCGAGGTCCGACTAGTTGGACGAGACGGCTCGTTGGACCGGGTCAGGCGGCGCTGAAGGCGATCTAAAACATTCATAGCGCCAACAAAACTGCCGAAACAATTTTAAAGGATGGAGACGATAGAATCCGTAGGTAGAATCGCAAAATCTAGAATGTATTTGAATTGGCTGTTTCCTATGATATTTTACAATGATGTAGATGATTGTGTCAGGGCAAAAGAGATAAAGACCAAAAAAGACAAAAAGAAATGAGTGAATATTGCCTTATCCAGTTTCAATTGCTGTAAAACCCCTTTACTATATGTATCAGATAGGAAGTGTTTCAATATATTACTGGCCATTAGGTTACCCATACCAGGGTTTTACATGAATATATACCTTGAATAATTGAATTCGTAAGCAAACTTCTAAAGCACTCTATTCTCGCTCATTAGCTGAGGCTCAATAGGCTTTTATAGATGTTCTACTCAATTAGATGATAAGGCAAGTATTTATGTGAAATTCACGGCTTCACATTCAAATTTTGCAGTGACAATAACAACGATTGCATATAGACACGTTGGTATCATTTAGGCGTTTAACTACATAAATAGAGAAAATTTTAAACCAGATGGCCTTTTCATATAGTGACTAGAAATCTAAGAAAATTTACTGTCATACATCAATAAATACCTGAATAAATATTTCTTAACGGATTTTGTGTTTAATGTTTTCAGGTAAAATTATTTAATTTCTTGAAAATAAAAATGACGTTGCTTCTGAAAGAGAACTAGTATATTATGGTAAAATAAAGCTCTTCGAATAAACAACTAAATTAAAAAAGCAAACCCTTGGCTTGTATATTAGAATATACCAAACTATCAAGATAACAAAGTATATGATAACATCAGGAAAGTTATTATCATCCACTGCTACTCTAATAGCACTAATCTCAACAAACATATTCCACCATCTGTAAATAATTGTCACCGAAATTGTAGCATAGAATCAAAACAAAACTTAAATTAAACTTTGACCTATTCAAGAAGAATGATTTTGCGTATATAATTGCATCTCTCGTTGGGGGGACTTTCATTTCGTATAAAAGCACAGGAAGAAGAGATTCATTGTTCAATCTCACCAGATGAGGAGGGTTAAATCTCATTATACTGCAGCCGTTTGGTTTTAATACGATATTCATGTTGACGCAGTCCTCGAGACATCCTTCCTCGTTTCGAATCAAAACGTGCCGAGCTTTCGTCCATCATATGATGAAGGTCATCAGAACTGGATTTCATTCTTGTAAAAGTCTCATGTTAACACTAGGGGAAGAACATTATCTAGCTCTATCTTCCCTTTTATATAGACTCGATTAGGCCAAAATGAAATTAAAACCCTAAATAGATCAATACAGAGTGGTTTAGCTAATTATCTTTCATATTGCTCCTGTTACTTTTGCTCGAGTGTCTGTGTGTGTGTATGTGTGTGTTAGCGTATATATGCAATACCGTTCCTAAATCAGAGTTGTAAAAAGGCTTATCTCAGGCTCTGATCATCAAGGCCTAATGACCCATTAAAAGGCACTGACCGAGACTTCGTAAGTCCGTAAGCAAGTATGGTTGAGAGAATGAGATATGAGCTTGTAAGCATGAAAATCAAGTTACAAAACCACTTGTCCTAACCTTTCAGTCTAGGGACATTAACGTTTAACACCCCAAGGAAAGGCAAGACTGGGGCTGCTTAATCTGGCACGTCTTATTTGGTTGATGAGCTTACTTAAACATATTGGGATCATAAAAATACAGGAATCCTATGAATTATGGATAAATATACGTGATAATTAATTGCAACACATTGCAAATTTACTCGAAATATAACCAAGGATCGAAGACCGTTTGAATGACTAATAAATATTGTAATGCTTTTAAAGTGTCTCAGCCTCTTGGAATATTTATACTATGTTTCATATAGTGTGAGAAAGAATAGTCCTTAAGCCATATAAAATTATGTAAATTGCATTCAGGTCTAAGAATGGTTAGAAAAGCCAAAATGAAGAATCATTGATCAAAGTCATAGAGGGTTTTTTAATATTTCGGAAATAAATATTAAAATGTCTGAAAATGCAGTAAAATTCCTTTGCTAGAAGCCTCTAAATAAGCCGAAAATTATTTGAAATATAAGATGGTAATAACAAAAATTTAGGAGAAATAGTCCTACAAATAAAACTATCTTTATCTTCCTCATATAAGAATTTTGTAAAGAGAATAAATCTTTTCCAATTCTAATACCCAGGCTTATTTATGATTTAGATTTTGGTCCTAGAAATATTATAAATTTACTATTTAGTTTACTCTAAACTCTCACTTTAGCACTGTATATAAATCACGAAAGTGAATGCCACATATGATCTAATGTGGAGTACCCTATGCTTGAAAAACTATAGGAAGTGTGACTGGCGTGATTTAAAGTGATATCAACTACTGGGACACAGGCACTAAAACTATATTGAACAATCGAATAACTATAGAAACATAAAAACGAATATATTAAAGCTAGAAGAGCTCATTATAACGGCTGATGGAAATTTTTAATCGACAAAGTTTTAGACATTTACATATTTCCACCATAACTACAATGTACCGGATAGAAAATGGGATTATAAGTAAAATTTTTTAATAAAATATAAATAAAATTTATCATTAATTAAATATTTAAACTTCTATTTCACATGCAAACTCAATTCATAACCTGGCCATATCCATAATTTACTACTTATCCAAAGGAATAAATAAAATTATATACATTTTTGGATTCGTAATATTTATTAATAGGGATTCTAATTCGATGCTATTGTTCGAATAGAAAAGATTGAAAGACAATACGAACAGCATATGGGAATTATTATTAGTTGAATACTTTGTCCAATGAAGTTAAGTTACTAAAAGGTTATGTTCAGGTTAGGAGCAATTCAGCATTATAAATACATAAAATATTGAAATAATAATTAACTATATATAGAAGCCAATATAAGCTCAAAAAAATCAAGCTAAGAAGTTTGACGCAATTAAAAATCCACTGTAATGAATAAAAATGTCCACAAAAATGTTGCATTTAAAATCTAAGTGCTTTAAAAAGTTAAGTTCTAAGAAAGATTTTCAGTGATAAAAAGACTAATATACCCAATCATGAACAGCATTTAACATAAAACACACGTAAAATATACATCAAATGATTAAGTGTGTGTATAGATGATCAAATAAGGATAAAGTTATATTGATTACTTAAAGTTATTTAAGTTTAGAACGTTAAATATAAATAAATAATAGTCGTCATTAAGTCAAATTGAACAGTTAAATGCAAAATACAGTATTATGTGTTAATAAAAAGCTCCTGTGAAAAATGGACTAATTAAAGTATTGGAATACATGTATGGCATATATCATATATTGTTATTTGCTAGGAATTATAGAAATAAAACTTTGAGAATTTACCTAACATATCAGCAAGTATTAAGATTCTTCCGTTGGACGTAGTTTGAACCACCCGGAGTTTACTAAGAAGATAAACCTTTAGTAATTATTTATTTTGACATAATTCTATTTTGCATAATAAATACTTTCCAAATTTATTTAACTTAATAAAAAATGTATAATAGTTTTATTCAGTATTATTATATTTTAATTTTAAATGTATATAATCTAATTTAGAATTGAAAAATAATTGGATTTTATTATTGCTACGCCCTAGCTATTAAGTGTTATTACTAGATAAGCTTTTTTTAAAAAGTTTCGCAGTTAATTTATTTAATTCACTGACTTTATTCAATCCAACAATCGCTGTTATCAGGATAGTCTTTGGACCTTATCTTCCTTACTCCCTCTTCTTTTGTAATGAGATAGTCATGCCTCAACTACGGCGTGGAATGCGATTCTCTTGATACAACTGTGAGTGTACCAACTGCATGTGCAAGATCCAAAACTGGTATTTATAATGAATATTATTAGAGGGTATGCCGGTTAGGCCTTTATCGGAGTACAAACTGACATCATTATCAGGTCGTGGAAATAAGACTGTTGGGGGGACTTTCATTTCACACGAAAGTGCATGAAGAAGAGATTCGAAGGTTGATACCATCAGAAGAGAACGGATGAATCCCGTTGTACTGCAACGGTTTGGCTTTTAAACGACGCTCTGGCTGACTTAACCCAGGGGACTTCCTCCCTAGCTTCGGGTGAAAACGTCTTTAGCTTTCTTCCATTATATGATAGACATCATCAGAGCTAATTCGCATTCCTCTAAATGTCTTATGTTAAAACTAGGCCAAGAAGTCTATCCGCTTCTATCTTCTCTCTTATGTAGGCTTGTTTAGGCAAATAAAAACGAAGAAACCTAGATAGATATAGAGTGGTTTGACTAATTATCTTTCATTCTGCTCCTGCTACTTTTGCTCAAGTGCGCGCTTGTACCTATGTGTGTGTGTGCGTTAGCGTTTTTACGCAATACTAGTATAAAAGCATAGTTATTAAAGTGCTAATGTCAGGCTCGGATCATCAAGGCCTAATGACCCAATAGAAAGCTCTGACGGAGAATGCTCGTAAACTGCGTCAACCTGAACGTCGAAGGAAAGCCAAACGGCTGGAAAACTATGCAAGGGTATATCAATTAGCTATCTAACATCGTGTTTAAATCGATCATGTGCTTTTCCTTCATTTTCTCCTCTTTACTGTGGCCTGCGGGGTTTAGAATGTTCAATTTCGCGCCGTCCTTAAATAGTTCTCTTTCTATTGTCAGCCTCCCATACTGTATTCAGCCGTATCAAAATAAAATAATTAGTAATACTATTTGTTCCTTTTCTGTCTTCGTTTCTGGGGCTCCATCTGCGGATTTCGCCAGTTTATGTCTCACTCTATGCTTGATGTTGACTATCAGTCCTAATGGTTCTCTTTATTTATGTAGCTTCAGCAACCTATGGACTGTCGGTTGTCATGCCTTCCTTTTTACTATATAATTTATCCACTAGTTGATGTTTCCATTATTATACATAATTTTAAGCATCTCCTATAATCTTTCCTTGTTCTTAGTTATTAGGTCATTTATTGTGCTTCTAGCAAGGCTTCGATTTTTCTGTCCATTGCAAAAATCGCTCCACGTTTATCAGCTTGAAATACAGTTATTCAATTCTTTGTAATATTTGTGTATACAGTAAATACTCTCTTGCCTGTGGGTTCATGATGCGTCAAAATGGTAGGAATTATTTTCATATCAATTTCCAATATAATTCCTACCAGGAATTCCTCTGAGCTGTTCAAATCCAACATAATAATATTAACTATAACCTTTCATTGAGTAAAGAAGAAAAATTTATTCCCTTTTACAGGGTATTGTTAGTTTATGAAGAAAGAAGGACTAAGAATATATTATCTCAGTAAAGTAATCGAAACCCAGCTTATCTTCGTATCTAAAATGTGAAAATAAAGTCTAAACAATTCTATAAACAAAAAAAGCGTTGACTTAGTTGGAGGCATTAACAACTTTGACTAGACACTTTCAATTTAATTATTTAACTATTTTATTGCATTTTTTTCTTCTTTATTAAAAAAAATAATTCTCCGCCTCATTTTCCAGATTTTGTTTTTCTAAATGTGATATAGTAGCAATTTCTCATTAGTTTAGTTATGCGGACAATTCTATATTAAGCAATATTCGTTGATCAATAAAAACTTCATCTCTATTCAACAAATGCTAGATACTTGTTCGCAATTAACACCATCTTTGCAACTCTAGCCCAGAATATTTCACATTTTTCTTGTGTACAGTAGATTTCTGGAGTTGACTTTATAAATTTGCACATCATTCAATCCCGTGCTAACCTCGAAGATCCGGGACGAAGTGACTTACGAATATCGATTCTATCAAAGCCACCATTTACGATGTAATTGCTAAGCTGGGACTAAATACCTGAATGAAGGTATGTAATGAGGTAAATCGGCTAGAACAAGGAGCTCTTCCTTACTTTGTCTAAATGTGGGTTGCGCGGAGGATAGAATCTTTCAGGCCCTATTCATAAAGAGCAGTGGATAGAGGACTCCTTCAACTAATTAGAGTTAATTATACTAACTTAGCGTTGTTTTCGTTAACAAAAATATTCACCTTCAAATACCTAGCTAAGAATTAAATACCAGCAAATTATTCCTTGTTTCATTGCTTCTATACAAGTATCAGTATAAAAAACTAAAAAGTCAATAAAACAACTAGAATTTTACTATTTTGAATCAATTATTTTCTTGGTTGGATAATATCAAAGTGCCTATAAAGTATTATTTTAAAGATAATACTGCACACAAATTCTATAACAAGTTCTGTAATAGATAAAAGAGAATCTAGATAATTAGGTCGAATAGGCTAAAAGTTGTGACGCAGTTAATATCATCCGGCGGTACACAAAGATTTTTGTCTTGTGGGGACAGAAATAAAGTACTCAGTTAAAGAAGCTTCTCAATATCTAAGTCGAAACTAAAGATGAATAAATAGAGCTATATTTTTCCATATATAATTAAACGATGCTTGATAGTTTCCCATTCCTTGAAAAGAAGAATTTGACGACACTAATTTCAAGATTTGCAAAGCAAGATAATATTCCAACCAAATAGCACATCAAGTAAATTCTTACTACAAAGCTAGGCCTACAAATTTAGCATAACATAAAGATATGAAAAGCCTGAAGTTATCTCACTTCCACATCACACTTCCAAAGACATTTTAGGTGATTAGCCATATCACTTCTCCTTTCAAAACTTTCCTTTTCTTGATGCAAGTTCAAGCTATGCTTTACCCAGTAACTCAAAAGCAATACACCTTATTGCTGCGAAAAGATTAATCAATTAATTTATTGTAATCTTTAGATGGACGAAAATTCCAAGTCGTTATGGTGTATAAAACCTTACTTTTAGTAGACTATGAAAATAAACTTGGATAAGCTTTAGAAGATATAAGCACTAGGACAAGTTACTTAGACGCTTAAATTAGTTATGTCATGAATTTGACCTTGCTGGACACACCTATAACCCATAAGCATGCAATCGCCTAGCCAGTATGTAGCGCATTTTCTTCTAAACATGGGTGCAGTAGCTTCTAATAAAGCAGATATTAAGGAGATCTAAAACCGCATTCCAATCTGAAGTATAATCTATTTTACTTGTAGATATGAAGACCAAGGTGGTATGGCCTTCTATTTGGTCACAGTCTCCTCTAGTTTTATAATATTTGTTCTATCTTGTATTCGCAACTTGGTCGGAGTGTCAGAAAGACTTGGTGGAATGTACCTGGTTCCGTGTTCTTTGTCATAGTATTCGTGATTTCCAATATTGGACAATTTGCTGGGTACATTGGCTGGGAATGTATCCAATCAATAGTCCAATGCTGGAAATCATGAATACTATTGCAGAAGACACATAACTAGGTACGTCCCACAAGGCCTCCCTGACGCTCCGACCAAGTTGCGAAAAGAAGGTCGAACTGACACTATAAATCTATTTTACTGTCTATGATCTATATGAGTTAAGAGATCAAGTAAAATCACAGCAGTAAATTATTTATTGTTTCTTTTTGTCAATTAATAAATTTTTTTAGGTAGGATTGCTCATGGGCTTTAAAATTGAGTACGCTTTGTCCATAATTTGATTATAACTTGATAGTAAGTGGTAGTATGAAGCTTGTCAACTACTATTGAGAGCAGAGTAGTCGTAAATTTAATGTGTTAAAGTGGATATAGAAATTGCTGATTAACAGTTTATGTGCATTTCTAGCATTGAGGATTTCTCTTTGTTTTAATGGTTGCAATGGGAACCTGTGGAATACACTCAAATTCCAACGATTTGCTGTAGCATGGAAATATCATGTGTCGGCTTTCGTTGTGTAGCATTTGAGAAATAACAATAGACGATAGAATAAAACAGCCTCAGCTATAATATAGAAGATTATCGTAATTTATTAACATTCAACCAATCATGACTGTATTTTTCTTTGCATTTGTAGCAATGGAGCATTGGAAGAAGGGATTTAATGTATATGAGGGGATAAATACCTATTTTACCCTTAATGACATCTTTAAATTCATTGCTTGGAGGATAAAGCTAATGGGAGAACAAGTAGAGCACCAATATAAAGTAATCAGCAAAACGAACAAAGAAGTTAGTATATAAGATGGATTGATTTAGGGGTGTACAAGAAGTAATGTAGTTATGAGAGAAATTTAAAGTTCACTTGCTCATATTACTTGATATTTGAAGGTGTATACGAGGGTTAGGCTTGGGGACAAACTTGCCTCATTAAGACCAGAAAATATGATGATCCACTTTTTTATCACTTTGAATATAGCTAAACAGACTTCATTATTTATAGTCTGAATGATGGGCCGAGCAAAAAGGTTTGTAAGTACCCTGGTTGCAATTACTTACATCAGATACAGCCATTCCTGCCAAAACCTGTCAGTATGATTTTGCCTATCTTTTCTCCATACAGACTGCTTCTATCTTTAGGCCTGTGGTATAGCTTACTAGTCCCGAACCGGGATGGGATATCGTCTCCCGAATTTTCGAATCTTGGTCCTTAACCATGTTTTCTGTCAATCATTCAGTAGCTAAGGCATATACGCCTTATTGGCTGGAAATGTTTCTTGGAGATCGGCCCATCAATCTGGCTGGTAGAGGACAGTTAAAGTCAGCATGGCAGTCTGAACTGTTAAAATTTGTGATAAAATTGTTTAAATAAGATTTTGTAGAAGAGGGGTTGTTGAAGTTAGAAGTAGTGCTGGTCGGGATGATTGGGTTTCTATGGCTAGATTAGTCTTATTTGGATTGTTGTATGTGCTGATTAACACTGTTAATCTAGTATGTTTCGAAATTGTGCCGTCTGAGACTAAATCAATCGTTTATGACGGGAAATTGATATTCACATGATACGGTTAGCTTTAATGCCCACAGGCCGAAGCTGGAAAATTCGATGGCTCTTAATAAGCAAGATTGTTTGAAGTGTATCCACCCAAATCTGCGCCATTAATGTAGGATGCTAACAGGCCAGTTTCTGATGCACCTGCGTCCTGTGCAACGGAAGTGAGTGCCGAAGAAGAAGAAGAGAGAGACGGCGATGGAGAATTGGATGGCCCACATACGTTAGAGTAGGTACCATCCAGGGAAGGCCCGCAGCAAGGGCCCTTGGCTGGCAGCTCCTCGGTCTGTAGCCCCTCGTAGCTGAGTGAGTATAACATATCGTGTCTTGGTCTGGGCGTGTCTGAACTGGTAAAGGCTGGTAAGGACCGAAAGCCAATGGCTCCATTGGCTGAATTGTGGCAAGCATAACTTCGGTAACTGAATGATTTAAAGAATGTTAATGTTAATAGGTGCTAAGAAGAAGTAGACAAACAGAGATTAGGCTAGAGAAATTACAGGTAGTAATTAAATGAGCAATAAACAGTGATTAATTAAACTTGTGGATAATCAAATTCTCTTTTTTAAAAGCATGTTGAGTCTTAATATCGAAGAACGCCCGGCATAATAATGTATCAAAGTTTTGGATAGCATAAAAATGTGAATATGCATCAACCACCTGATCACACTCATAAGTATATACAAAGTAATAATTACAATTCAGTGGCTTGATATTTTCTGAATAATTTATTATGGGAAGCTTTTGTTTAAATATATTAACATGTCCTTTTTAAGCAGGTATAAGATACAACACTTCATAATATCACTCTATTATCTGCGAAACTAGGTTAGCAAAATTATAAACAAAGTTTCTGTGTATATGCTATCAAATAGGCATATATTTGTTAACCAGATAGGCCATTTATCTGGTTGGCAGCTAGGGATCACTAACCTAATTTTAAAGTAAGCCAGAAAACAGCACGCACACTTTCCATTTATCCTCAAAATTCGCTAATGAACGCCTTTACTTGCCTTCATTAAATCGCTCCAATGAATAGGACAGAGAGCCTTCTTAGAAACTCCAATGATTTTTTTATAATTCAGGGAGAAAAGGAAAAGAAATGACCTACATTTTAAATTCATGGAACAGCTATTTTGCTATGAAACTCGTAAATTCTTAGAAGTAAGAGTTAATTCAGTCGATCATTTAATGAAAGTTTAAACTATATATACGGAGAGTAAATGGCCTTCGATAAATCTCTTAAGGGAGCATCGTTGTGGTGACTTTCGTCTTATATGATACTGTTGTGCTTACTTCCATTTCGGGTGTAAGTGTCTGGTGAAGAGATTCGAACTTCTATTCCACCAGAAAACGACGGCCGATTCCTCTTGACCAGCTGTCGATTGGCTTTACTGGAAGATTCATGCTAACGCTGTTTCCGAGGTAATCTCCTTCGATTCGGAGCAAGGTATAATCGTCACAACAAAATTCAAGCTTGACTCGTTAGCTTCGTCATATGACGGACAAAAGCTTAGCACCTTTTTACCGGAATCGAAGGAGATTACCTCGGAAATAGCGTCAGCATGAATCTTTCAGTAAAACCAATCGATAGCTGGTCAGGAGGAATCCGTCCTCGTCTTTGTTGGAACCGACCTTTGAATCTCTTCACCCAACACTTCACTCGAAATGGAAATAAGCGCAACAATTATGAAATAAGAGATTCCTCAAAACCCAACATTTTTTGCTTATATGATACTGTCTGACTAAAAGATTGATAAGCTAATATCACCAGGAATGGATGGATGATTTTGGTTGTCCCACAAATTCAGATTGACATAATCAACGGGACATCCTCTTTTGACACCATTATTCATCAAATCCCGGAGAAGAACGTCATCTGGACTTGGATAACTCGAAAGTAAAACATCGGAACCAACATTTTATCTTACTGAGTAACTGATTTGACACGGTTTCAGCCACCGTATTCGTTATAGCACGGCAGTATTTCTTACAGACGGCCCCAAGCGATTGATAACTCAGGCTATGATTCCTAGGCTCACTGATATCACCCCAGCCGAAATCTACGAAGGTATGACTTAAAGTAGATAAAAAAATGACTTAAATGTTGATAAGCAGAAACCAATGCATTGAGAAGATGGAAAGTAAACTAGGAGGCATAACCACATTTTGTGTACTACAGGAGGGCCCAATTATGAGGATGGACAATGTCTTCATCAACATAAATGGAATTAGGACCACCGGCAGCCTAAGAATTACCTAAGATACGCAAGGAAGAGGAACCGCTAAGGATGATAATCAACAAGAAGTGTAGAGTAGCATACAAGCTGGAAAGGTCTCTAGGCATGAAAATGAAAAAGTTAACCGACAGTTTATCAAACACAGTAAAGAATTCACATGTACTTTCTCAAAGTATTAAATGTATAGGACTAGAAGTATCAGAATTAATGGTAAAGTTGGATGCAAAATCTATGCATACAATTATCTCTTTAAAAAAGGGAGTCTTGGCTTTGTTGGAAATCTTGAATCGAGAAGATATCTTGGAAACAGAAAGGACCTGGAGATAGCCTTCAAACCTGCTGATCAACATGAAAACAAAGTTAATCTACTTCACATTTGACGGAAATAGCTATGAGCAAATATTTTGGATTACCTGTGGGATCGCTACTCACGCCTATTTTGGCGAAAGGCAACATAAGCAAATTAGAAGATAATTTCGGGACACAACCGCTGCAATAAGGAGTGCTCTTGTGGCATCTTGATTACTACTTTGCACCTTTGTGGCACGGTAGTAAAAATTTAGATAAATTCCTTAATTTTATGAACCAGGGATAGAAAAGGATTGGCATCTAGCTCTCCTTGAAGTCGAAGTCATCTACTCAACCGGGAAGCTCAAAAAAAAGATTATTCAAAAAGGTGTCACATGCACGAGAAATCCTCCATTATATGTGTAATCACTAGATTTCGTTTTAGGTGATAAGGGGACAGGTAGTTGAATTTTTGTCTTAATAACTTGAGTAAACCTTACGCTTCCATTGAATTTCACATAACCATCTCTTTAAAAAAAGGTATTCTCATTCAGAGTGGGTTGCAATTTCGACCTTGCTTGGGTATCACCACCACTCCAACGGAAATCGAACCCTATGACTGCACTGCTTATTTTGATAATCTTAGGACTAGGCTGCACTGCCATGGTGCCAATAAATAGAAGAGCATATGTGAGTTTCAAGTCTAGCCAGGCCTCGGTCATATCATATTTTGCAGTGGGAGTGTCGATTAAGCAAAGCTTTTCATGCACTCTTCTATTCGGATAGGGTGATCAGAATGAGTTTAAAAGCCTTCCTCACTTTGTCTAAATACATCATCCGAAACCATTCCAACAACCTAGATAGAGTACCAGAATATTCTCTGATGGGAGGCATGATGGAGGACGGTAGGTTTCACTTTCCTACTCCTCCAGTATTTCGCCCATTATTTTCATAATCTTACCTCTGCTTGCCTAATTTTTCATGAGAATCTATTAATAATATGAATGTGCAGTGTGAGATAACATTGCAAGTGCTTTTATCGGGTAGAGCGATTAGTAATAAGGAGATAGATGGAACAAATTTAAGTTAATACAATTGTTAATATCATCAAAAATGTCAAGGTTTATATTATGAGTTATGTATACCTTCTTTTGTTTAGTATGATGAAGGATTGCTAGGTGAATTTTCCCACTATGATATGAGTAGAGCTGATGTTTTCATTGAATTTCACATAGACTTACCTTCCCAAAAGGAGTTCTCATAGCCTTCATCACCTTAAACCAAATAAGATGAATATAACTCGTAGATCTGATTGACTGATAGTCCCAAAATCTCATTCGAAACGAAATAAATGTTGACAGTAATATTTCCAATATTAATAAAAAATATGGGTGCTAATACAGCACCAAATTGTATAACAAATTCTAAAAATATGGAAAGTATGAAGACCAAGATGGTGTGGCCTTTTGTGTGGTCGCAGTATTCTTTCGTTGTGTAGAAGTAGTTTAGCACACATTTGGTCGAAGGATCGGCTCCAATAGTAGTGTGGTGCTAAGAATGGCAAGACTCATTGACCATGTCGACTACGATGCCAGCGAAACGTCTGGGAATGTACCACGTCCATTGTCCGACTCTGGAAATTATCAGGTTTACAATAGACTCCGGACTATGTGCGGTCCTCTAAGTCTTCCTACCAATATGACTAAGTTGCGAAAACAAGGTCAGATCAATTCCATCTAAAAATATGTTGACAAACTATATTTTAAACAAAGTTATTTAAGGTTATTATGTTGCTCTTCATATCCAACCGTATTGCTTACTTTAAATATGGATTATGAGCATGACCTCTCGCCAGTTCTCTTCTCATCGTACCTAAACGTGGGAAAAGGGTAAACAATATGCTATTGTTATTTGCATAAAGTATTTCTTGCATAAATATGGCCAATTTAAGCTATAAATAATCTAATTTATATAAATATGTACGAGGTTAAGCCGATTATAATTTGAAAATATAAATTCTAATTTTAATTGGCCATATAGGCAAAAGGCGTGTGGTTAAGCATGACACTTATTGGTATCCTTCCCAAGTGAGTACGACGAACTTCGGAATTTCACTAAATAGGCAAATTTAGTCTGCTTATACTCGCATGAATTACACTTTTACGATGTATTTGTTATTCGCATAAAGGATGGGATTTTGAGGCTGAAAATGTATGCATAGAAGATGCCTAAATGTTTATTTTTCTTCAAGGGAGCTGCTGGTTGGCCTGATGACAAAGTGTGTGTAAAAGGGTCTATTGCCTATACGTGCTTAACCCCTTGACGGCGTAGTCGTAAAGCCACTACGCAGCATTATGGCTTCTGAATTAAAACAGATTCATCTCAACTAATCTGTATCATGGTAATTTCCTTACAGAATGGATGAGTTTTCTGCTAAACTAGATATTTATATTTTCTCTGTTAATTTGACCCCTCAACAAGCCTTGAATAGGGTTCCATAAATAAGATCAGCTTTTGGTCCTTTAATCTTAAAAAGACCGATAGTTAATGCATTAACGGGTAATATTTTTTTATATTCGTGGGCAGTTCAAATATTGGACCGGCAGATTCAAAGTTAGAAATTGAGTATTTTTCTTTCTTAAATGAGTCCTGTTTGGACTTGACATCCAACAGTTAGTATCATACAATTGAGAATGCTGTCTGTAGTTAAGCATGAAAGGGAAAAACTATTACTAAAACTTGTGCTTAAGATATACCAATTAGAAGGTATAATTTCGACTATTTATTTTG